GGGATTTTTCTCATGGTAAGACTTGACAACAAGTGGAATTAGCTGCCTCATGAAGTGGTTGTGGTTCTCTTCCTTGGAGGTGTTCAAAGAGGCCAGCTAGTCGAAATGCTTTAGCAGATCTGACCCCAAGCAAAAACCAGACAAAGATTATGTTTGAGATCGGTTTTAATTTTATGATTCTATAATAAATTCAGATGTTATTTGAACACCTTGATCTTCCTCTGGAGGAACCACATGGTGGCAACCACTGCTTCTGCCAAAATCTGTTATATTTGCAAAAATTTAAAAATATGCTCCAATTATTCCATGATCTGAGCTTCAAACATTTGCAGAAATGGAAAACTTTGATCCAGACATTAAGCATGAAGGGTCAAAGCTTCTCTTGGTCTATTTTGTCTGTCTTTTTTCAGTGCTGTTGTAACTTCAAACTGTTGCTAAACAAATGGTTGTGAATTGACGGCTACCTGTACTTTAAATCCATTCCAGATATTATAAAATCTTTTGTAGATTTTAATGGACGTGGATGCCACTTTAAACTAGTTGTGGGAAGATCTGACTTTCTTTAGATTTGCTGCTGTGAACCTCTGGCTTACTCAAGGGATATAGTGCGAGCATAAAGTATGTGTCAAATACTACTGCAACTTTCTTATATTCTTGTGTTTGGGGCATTCCTTTTACAGATATGGACTCCTTCTCCTGTTCTGCAACGCCTACATATTTTCTGAGTAGGATCTCATAAGGGCAACTATGTGTTTAATACACACATATCCCATGACAGCTATGAATTCAACCCTTGTGACTTGATCCACATTTCATAAATACCACAAGGACTCCCAGGGAGCTTAAAGAATAACATATTTTTTATAGCACAAGCTTTTTGTGAACTACAGTCCACTTCATTAGTTGTTTATGCCTCAATAAATGTCTGAGTCTTTAGGTCATTGTTTCTCAACCTTGGCAACTTGAAGAGGTATGGACTTCAACTCTCAGAATTCCCCAGCCAGCACAGCTGGCTGGGGAATTCTGGGAGTTGAAGTCCATACCTCTTCAAGTTGTCAAGGTTGAGAAACACTGCTTTAGGTGAACCAAGATTTGTCCTTGTTTTCAGCTGCAACAAAATAATAGGGCTGTTCTGGAAATGGTTATTATTTCAGGCAATTGGTTGACAAGTCCATGCCACAAACAATCCAGCACAATCCGCCATTTATTGTAACACTGACTTCCTCGCTTATTACCCCTGCTGAACTAAAGGAGTCCAAAAGTCATCCATGTCTGACCTATCAGAGAACAACTTCCTATTTTGAATAAAAACAGGAAAAACGGGGGCAGGGGGAGCAAAATAAAAAGTGTGCTGATTTTGTGAAAGAAATATTTGAAGCACAGGCAAATAGTAATACAATTTTCAGAAGGTACTCTTGTGCATCATCTCAATCCACCTTTCATAGCCCTGCTCCAGATGAGATGTCCTCCAACACATCTGAATGGCAACAGATTGGGCAAGACATCCATGCAGGTAAATAACATGGCAATGAGCTAAACTTTGGGGGAAGACAGCCTGCTGTATCTGCCAGATGCCAAGAGAAGCACAGGAAGAAACAGAGGGAAATCCTGCTCATTTTTTCATTGACAAATATAAACAGTAAATGGAAATAGGAGAAGACAGCAAAGGAACAGGAATTCTGAGGTGGTAACACAGGAAGGAAAGGAACGTACTTTGAAGTTAACTCAAGACTTATCTGATCATCCAGAGCATTTTTCTAATAGATTCTGTTAGGGGCTTTGTGGTTTCTTCTTGATGAGACATGGTGAGATAGACTACTTTACTATCTTGTTGTCTCATAAGGGCCAATTTCATCTTCAGGAAATTGCTATTGTATCTATATTGAACTGCAAACAACCACTTATGTTGTAAATTAGGGAGCAAAGGAGCTTACTAATCATAATCCAAGTGTACTTCTTGTAAATGTGCAAACATTTCTGGTTTCCACTTGTGTAACAAAGCAATAAAAGGGGAAAAACTATGCACTTCTAGAATAAGTTACTGAAATGAATAAAATTTGGAAAGAAAGATAGAAGCAGATGTTTATCTGAAATGACTAGATTTCGTTTGAGCTTAGACAGTGATAGGCTTACCCAATCTCTGTTGTAGGTAGCAATTCATAGCTGTTATTTATGTTTAACCACCTGTTTCATACAATCTAGATGCTATTACCATAAGTAGAACTATAAACAAACACGCATGCTGGCATTTAATGAACAAATAAAAGAACAATGATACAAATGAACAGAATCCATTATGAAATGGATTAGAAATATTCAAGTTTTCCTAACATTATTCATAATAAGAATTCAGTCAAATGAATGGTAAGTATACTTTATTCAGAGTGGAATTCCATAAATTAGGGTTCTCAATTTTTTATTTGCACCTTGCTTATGTGCAATCAAACTTATAGTACTTATGGAGAAACACAGGTCATAAGTAATAGTTTAACATGAAGCTAATCTAACCCCCCAAAAACACTTTTCTAAATGATCAGCTCCAAACATTTCCCATTCTATTACTTCCCAAACTACAGAAACATTAGAAAATGCGCTATCAAGGAAAAAGTACATAAAGGAGTTAATATACAGCATCTGCCTAGTACTTTACAGCAACTTGCATATGTACATTATCTTACTTAAATTCCTTACAAAACCTCAGAAGTATTATCTCCATCCTCCATACAAAGATAGAATTAAACTTGGCTTCTTAAGAATTTCTTAAAGTTTCTTAAAACTACTTACTGAGATTTTCGTTGAGTGGCGTTTTTGAGCTTCCCAATTTGTAGTTCAAATTGTACCAACTCTATGTATGCAGGCACATTATAAAAAAGTATAAACCAGAACAATAACAAATTTCAACTTTATATGGTTCATATGACTGGAGCAGTATATAGAAACAGTGAAATTTTAATAAATGAATACACATTATAATCTATCTGCACCCTTAATTTCAAGCAAGTGAATAATTAATCTTATTGGAGATCACTGTTCATTTTATAAGCATGAAAACAGAAAAGGTACTGTATATAACAAAAAAACCACCTCCCTTTTAACTCGGGGTAGAGTCGGGGCAACAAGGTGGAGCTACTGGTATATGGCAACAATGCATAAAAATCACCATGTTTTTGTTTTTTACATTTACTTGTAAATCTTCTTGAGAATTTGATTAAAGATATTGCCATCAATGTCTGTTGTGGACAAATTAAATGGAGGAGATAAGTAAAACGGAAATATGATGGATTGGGATTTTGAAAATTATGGGTACAAGGTAATTTAAGGCAAATTATACAAGTTTACCTGTTAAAGACATTTTTCATGTTCTTTACTTACTCTAACTAAACACAAATCAAATTGAATGTAAATCAAATATAAATGTGTAAATCAAATACTAATATCAAGTATGTATTTAAGATGCTGGCAGGCAGTCTCTGGCCTTTTTTGAATAACTATTACACTTGCTAACAATTGCAGAGTTGCTACAGTGCACAAGTTACTTCTTTTTTCTAAGCAAAGCACTTTCCACTGAATTCACATTCACTGAATTTACATTAGTGATGTTACATGCACAGCCCATTGCTAGACTGCTAGCACAGGACTTGATGTTATAGGACAAATCTACTAGTCTGTCATGCTACGTGGCATCATATGGCATCACACTGTCTGACGTGCTATATGTCTTCAACCATCAAGAACTCAATCATGGGGCATCACTTATGTGAATTCAGATAATATGAATTCAGTGGAAAGTGCATTCAGTGAATTCAATTCAATGGAAAGTGCCATTCACAGTGAATGTGAATTCAATGGAAAGATGTAACTAGTGATGCTATACTCTTTCCCTCATAATACCCATATTGCTTTTACGGCTTCTATTTTGCATCAATGTTCCTACTGACTGGATGCTCCCTCCTTGGTTAGGTGCCAAGATATCTTTATATGAAGTATGAAAAAAGCAGTTATCTCCTTTGTCATAAATTCCATTTTCCCTCTTTTTGAAACAGACCTTGTCAATTAATACACCACACTGTGTTTAAGTCTAATAAGCAAACTTTTTTTCACATGTAGCACCCCTAGAGAGTGACAGATGAAGGATAAAGGAGAATCCCAAGAGTTCTCAGGTGTATTTGAATGAGATCCTTGGGTCTGGTTCAAGATGCATCTCTGTTCATATTTCAGCCTTGTGTGATTTGTAATTAATTCCTTCCTTCCTTCCTTCCTTCCTTCCTTCCTTCCTTCCTTCCTTCCTTCCTTCTTTCCTTCCTTCCTTCCCTCCCTCCCTCCCTCCCTCCAACAGGAGCAGGACTTACCCCATAGAGAATTTGCAAGGATAGCTCAAGAGGAGCAGAAGCTGCAATTGCTATGGGTCCGCTTACCTGGGAATAAGTCTGACCTACTGAACTCAGTCCGAGTTACTTCTGAGTAAATATTTGCAACTAGCTCTGCAAATACGGCTAGAGGTGGCACCCTCCCAGGATGAATATAGCACGAAGCTTAAAATGGAGACGAACCGCAGGCAACCCGATGCTCTCCAGATGTTTTGGACTACAACTCCGAAAAACACTTGGTGATTAGAACGGGAGTTCTAGTCCAAACTATCAAGAAGAGGTCTGCAGGTTCCCGGGTTCACTCGGACCAAAGCCATACGGGTTCCTGGCGCGCCGATCCTGGTACACGGCTTGGTTCGAGTCCCATCCACACGCTCCCCCGCCTATAGATCCGGCGTGGAGCAGAGGCCTCGGGATCCCTCCCGTCCTGGATTGGCCGCGGCTTCACCGGCACTCCGCTTGGCAGCCCCGAAGCCCCGCTAGGAAACCTGACTCCAGGCTGTGGAATTCTGGGAGTTGAAGTCCACATGCCTTAAAATGGTCAAGGTTGAGAAACACTGCTCCAGGCAGAAAGCCCGGCGAGCGATCCCGCCGGGAGCCACCCCCCCCCCTCCTCAGCCCGCGATCCCTCACCTCTCTCGCCGCCTTGGATGGCGCGCACCACGTCGTCCGCGTACTTGCCGCTCTCTTCGAAGGCGAAGTCGTCCAGGTGCAACCCGGCCTCGCGGAAGACCAGGTGGACCCCCTCGGCGGCGAAGAAGCAACTGCGCTGCTCCTTGTCGTCGTGGTAGACCAGCAGGACGCGGCTCCACTTGTGGTGGCGGAAGAGCGCCAGGAACATCTCGCCCATCTTGGCGTAGCCCGGGGAGACCCGGGTCAGGTGCGAGTACTCGCCCGTCTTGGGGCTGAAGCCCGCGGCGAGCGCGCCGGCCGAGATCATGGGCAGGTTCCAGTGCGAGGCCAGCCGGGCTACCGGCGCGGCGGCGTAGTCGCACACCGGCCCCAGCAGCAGGTCGGGCCACTCCCGCTTCAAGGCGATCATGTCCACCAGGCTGAAGAGCGCCCTGTTGCCGCAATCCGAGTCGCTATAGAAAAGGCGGAACTTGTAGCCCGCCGGCAGGAGCGAGCCGTTCGCCTCCAAGCTCCGCACCGCGTACTCGATGGCCGGCCTGACCCGCGCCAACGAGAACAGGTACGCGTCGTCCTTGGGCAGGAGCACCAGCACCCGGAGCGCGGCCTCCTCCTCGGGCGCCGCAGCCGCCTCCGCGCCCGGGACGCTGCTACTACCGGGGGCGGGGATGGCCAGGAGCAGCCAGGCTGCCAGGCTGCAGAAGCAGCAGCTGAGGAAGAGAAGGGACGGCATGGTGGCAAGGCACAGCGGGCGGGGAATTCTTTTTTTAAGCGGCCAAGAGCCGGCGGCGCACGAAGCGCAGCGGTCGCCTCAGGACGAACAAGCGAGAGCGGCGGAAAAGTTTGGAGGGATCCGCTCGGAAGGGGGGCGTCCGTTCCCTCTCGTCCCTTGATGCTAGTCAGGAATAGGGGGTGAATTTGCTTCACGGCTTTGGGAAGGGACGGTCTGCAGTCCCACTACAACTTTCCCGCGCTTCGCCTTCCATGTAACCGTCGGAGCACGAGCGACGGCGGCGGCGCCAGCATCCTTATCCTTTTCTTCGCCCACCTCTCCTCTTCTTCTTCTTCTTCCTCCTCCTCCTCCTCCCCTCCGCCGCCGTCTCCACCCGCCTCCCCAATCTCTCTGCCTCCCGAGTGAGCTGGGTGGACCGTCCTTGCCGCTCCTGGCCTCATAGCCTCTGTTTAAATACTGCGGCTGCAGCCCGCGCGCCCGGTCGCCACACACGCGGCGCGGCGAGGCCGGGTTTGCGCTCCGGGGGAGGGCGGCTGGGGAGGAGCCATTCCCTAACGTCCCTTGGCTGGCTGGCCCCGCCCCCTCTCCTCTTGGCTCCGCCCCGCCCCGCGTTCACACGCCGCCTTTTGCCCTCTCGTTTTTCCGCCGCTTTGTTCTTGGGAGGCTGGAGCGGAGGCGGAAAAGCGGGGAACGGGGAATCCAGGCGCCGATCTCTGTTGGCTAGGAATTGCGCGCCCCTGCTTGGGCATTGTGGCGCTCCTCATCCTCCCGTGGGGGGGGGGGGTTCCAAATCCAGGCTGCGATCCTGAGCATCATGCCTGGGAAACAAGGCAAGGTGCTGGGCCTTGGGCCAAACGTGGAGTCGGATCCGTGCGAGGGTACAGAGAATCTGCTTTGCATCATGCAGAATCAAGGCTCTCTGGGTGGATTAAAGCGTTAAAACATTTGAAGGAGAAACTTGATAAACAACTTGGGATAAATAAACAGACGAGGGATATAAAATCTACCATTCCGGCAGTGGAATATAGGCTCTTAGAGCAAAATTGTAAAAAGGAAGTAAGAGTTTAAAGAATGAGACATTTCTTAAGTGGTTAAGAGAGGCGAGGCTACAGATTGAGAAAGACAGCAAGGCTTTAGTTGTAGTGGTCATATATAGTAAGGATGTAGTAGTGAATGCTGTCAACAAGTGGAACAAGTTACCTCATCAAATGTATTTTCCTTCTCTGGACGTCTTCAGAGGTTGGATCTGAAAGATCCTGCACCAGACAAGATGGCCTTTTGAGGTACTTTTCAATACAGGCAATCTTCCATTTATTTACAACCATTCGTTTACAGACTGTTTGAAGTTACATCACTGAAAAAAGTGAGTTATGACAGTTACAGCATTCCCACTATTTCTTGATCAAATTCAGGTGCTTGGCATGTATTGCAGCATCCTGGGGTTGCCATTTGCAACCTCTCCAGCCAACAAGCAGTCTGTGGGGAAAGCCAGATTCACTTAACAACCCCATGTTTCACTTAGTAACTGCTGTGGTTCGCGTACAATCTTAGCAAAAAAAACATGGTAAGATCAGGCCAACTCATTTAACACCTTGCTTAGCAACAGAAATTCTGGTCCCAAATGTCATAAATCAAGGACTACAGTACTGATTCTAGGATCCCTTCCATTTGGCCATAAGGGGCTACAGAAATCTTGAAAAATGAAATAACCATCAATAGAAAGAATCACAGTGTATGGACTTGGATTTATAGACATTGTATAGAAATAGGCATTTTGATCTCTACTCTGTGGGTGAAGGCTAGAAACTTGTGAAAATCTTCCACTACATACACTTTTAAATATTTAATTAAATAAATAAATCACACCATATCATGCACAGCCTAAAATCTGTATATGCATAGATGTGTAACAAATTTGTAGATTGTATTTGTTAAGAACTAAGAGCATGAATTGAGATTCTACAAAAATTCAGGAGGAAGAAAGGTTTATATATATATTTTTTGGGGGGAGAAGGAAATGGAAGCAGGAAACAAAAATATCATTCAAACCACATGAAAGGGGTGTTAATAGCCGTTGTTTCAAAGATGCATCTTGAAACAGCAGCCCTTATCCATATTTTAAGAGAGAAGTTTATGAGTAGTTATGTGGAACCATAAAGGGTAATACAGAGAGAAAATGAAATACACACAAAACAATGAATATATATATCAAATTGCAACCCATGAATTCTTCCTCATAACAGATTTTTAATGCAGCAATAAACTCACATTCTAGCAAGAAACATTGTCTTTGAACGTATGCTTTTATTCTTCCTCATCGTCTTCTGCCTTGACTAGTTCCAACTAATGAAAATAGAAATAAACCTTTTGCCTGGTGTTTTATTGTGTAATATGCTTTTCTAAGTTTTATAGCTGGGTGTTGTTTAAAAAAAGAACAAGCCAATCATAAAACATTCAAAATAATATGAAATGGGATTCCCATGATATGAGTTTCAGATAAATCTGCAAAGAATCAGATTGACTATTTCATACTTGGTACATATTGAATACCCTTGTTCAATAGAATCCACATGCAACTGCATCATCAGTTGTACATTAATATATTATATTGATACCCAACCCTAATGTGAATCGATGGAGAAGATGCACAGACTTTAGAGTAGACTTTTACAAGGTAAGCCCAGGTTGTGTTAATGAAGGGATTTATGTTGAAGAGATGTCAAGCAAAGACCACACAATTTGCACTGACAAAGCTGTTCATGTTGCATTGGAGCTTCTTGTCTCCTTCAAAACCAAGACATGTAGACTTACTTCTAAGCAGTTTCCTTTATTCTTCCTCACTGATAGACAGAAATCCTACCGAACTAAAGCAACTACTTCCATGCTCAAAGATACACTCTGAGAATTGCTAAGAAGAAGCTGTCTTAACTTTCTCCCAACCAAACAATCTAAACTTTGCTGTCTCTTGGTCCTCTGGAATGCAGCCCCTCCCTCCTTGGGAATCCAGAGTACATTCCATCATACTTGCTAAAGTCAGAAGAATCTTCTTCAAAACAGTTTGCTGGAGAAAATAAATCAAAGAATTATGGGACCAAAAAAGGCAGATGGAACCTCCCACTATGCTTGTTCATCAAAGTGTGATAACTATGGCCAGAGAAGCTGTGTTGAAGAGGGGCTAAGAAGCAGAGCAGTACTCATATTTTGATTCAATTTTATAAGGAGCCTATTCTCAAAGGAGCACCCTAAAGGTGCTTTTTTCCCAAAAGGCACCTGGACGGTCTTGTTTTTTTCTTTGAAGATGTTTCACTTTTCATTCAGAACTGAAGAAGCTTCTTGGATGAGAAACTAAACACTTGCAAAGAAAAAAACCAAGGAAATCCAGTTGCCTTTTGGAAAAAGGCACCTTTGAGACAAGCATGACCTGGATGATTTAGAATCTCTGTAGACACTCTCAGAGGAGTAGTTTCTAGAGCAGGGGTAGGCAACCTTGGCTCTTTTATGACTCGTGGACTTCAACTTCCAGAATTCCTGAGCCAGCATGGCTCAGCTTGGAAACTCTTCCTTTCCCCTCAGCATGGCTGGCTCAGGAATTCTGGGAGTTGAAGTCCACGAGTCATAAAAGAGCCAAGGTTGCCTACCCCTGTTCTAGAGGATGAGATGCTCAAGCTTTCCTCAAAGTGGAAAGAAGGAACGTTGTCCATGGGGTCACGATGGGTCAGACACGACTTCGCAACTAACAACAACAACTTCAAATAATTTGTTTGACTTTGTGATCACAATAGACTATAAATTTAGTTGTGACTAAGTTCATTGAAACTGAATAAAGTAATTTAGGATTGTACTGGTAGAACAGTTTGCCCAATACATTGGGTGTGCTGAATTCCCAAATATTTGTTCCTGACAATGTTCTGTAGGAGGTGGTACTCTGCAAGTGAAAATATGAACATTTTAACAATAGGATCATATGGTATCCTATAACATGACTGAAGCATTAAGACCAGCTTAGTCCCAAACATGCTTTTTCAAAAGGCAACTGGACGTTCTTGTTTTTTCCTTGAAGACATTTTGCTTCTCATCCAAGAAGCTGCTTCTTCTGAACTGAAGTTTCTTGATGAACATAGAAACGTCTTCAAGGAAAAAACAAGAAAGCCCAGTTGCTTTTTGAAAAAAACACTTTTGGGGCAACCATGACCTGGATGACTGAGAATCTTCATAGACATTAAGTTCAGCTTAGCCTTTCTCATTTACACTGAAGTCAGTGGGAAGGGTACTAACTCTGAAAACACCTTCTGTTGACAAGGGAAAGTGCAAGAAATGAAGCAATGATCTGCTTCTGCCTTAGTGATTCAGACTCCCCTCATTTCCTCTTATAAATCAGCTGAAGCAAAGGGCTTTGCTTGCTGGGAATGGTGAGCTGAAGTCCCAGCACATCTGGAGGACACCAGCTTGAAAAGAGCTGCCCTAAAGAAATAAGTTTACACAAGAATCTTAGCCTCATTCGGGCTGGATTCACTCATCATTCTAGGTCACAACTGAGCCGATTTGAGGTAACAATGGAGATGCCAAACTAAAAACCAGGAGACCTCCCATAGGCATGAAGCCAGCTGGGTAACTTTGGACCGGTCACTCTTCCTCAGTCAATCCACCTCAGGATTGTTATTATTGGGGGGGGGGGAGAAGCAAGGGTGTTATTATATCCCTTGAGTTACACAAAATAAAAGACAATATAAGTAGTCCTTGGCTTATGACTGGTTGCTTAGCAACCATATGAAGTTCTGATGGACCCTCCCCTGAGGGATTTATGACTTATTTATGTTCTAAAAGCCTCCCCTCAGGGTCACATGATCACATTTTGGGTGGTTGGCAACTGACCAGCAAGTATGGCCATTTGCAGTGCCCTGCAGTCATGTGACCACAATTTACAATGTTTTTTGCCAGAAACTAGCATTTATTTTCAGTTTCTGTCAAAAACTATCCTATTATAAACAATGGGTTTGTTT